TGCAAGACCTCCGTGGAGCTATCAGGTCATGTTCCCTAAGTCTTGTGCATAATACCCAAATCATTTCTATTTATTTTTCATTTATTGGCGGATGAACATGACTAGATTTGCAACGAATCTAACAATGACAAGACTCCTGAGCATTTTAAGGATGTAAAAGGAACCTAAATGGCACTAATTTGGCACTAATCATACAACGATTTTGGAAATAGTAAAACGTATACAAAATCTATATACACATAAAATCACAAATCTAACAATAAGATCCATATATACAATATGTAAATTGAATAGAATTCTAACGATTTTTATAGACTATAGTACAAAATACCGTAGATAAATAGAGAGCTACAATTCTGTCAGAAAAAATCAAATTTGTTCATAGATAGTTTTTTCCTAGCTAATAATCTCTAATTTGACGGCATTTTATGCTTCGCGACGCGACTGCGGCGAACCGCAACGCGAGGACGTGTGCAGCGCTAAACAGTCATTGCTCATATAATCCACATCTCTATCACATCTTATATTGCATTGCTGAGTATGTACAAGAGCATAAAATAGATAATAGCTAGCCGCATTTCTATTTCTCATAGAAAAATTCTAAAAACAACTTTTCAGCTAACAACTGCGCTAGGCAATGGCGGCAGGTGAATCGGCATCACTTCGCACTGTTCGCTGAGAATTGTCTTTGGTATCCGTTTTGCATGTTGTAGAATTCTGCTCGAGTATGCTCGAACTCCTTGAACATCGAGCTGTGAAAGCACGGGTAGCTCCAGAATGATTATAAGACCTATCTCGGTAACCTGAAATGAAGTGAATCAATTTTGACTGTTTTTTCAGTGCCCTGAAACGGATTCCAAAAAGTGTCTTCATGGTTTTATGAGGTATACGAGCCCTACCAGCAGTTTGATTTGCTCACGGCCAAAAAAATCAATTCTACACGTTCGCCTAGTACCGTACTCCGAGTACGCTGATTGATCCGCCGAAAAGAGTACGGTAGTGGGCGGGAGCTCAAAGATAATTTTCAAAACATATGAAATAGGCGAGTGCTGTTAGCAATCACTTTCATAATAAACCCTGATACCCAGTTACACATCTTTGAAAACAAACTGACGTTTCTGCAGAATTTGATATCCAGCGCCTTCAACAGTTTGCAGTTTGTCAACCGTTCCAGGACCTGATCGTCGACTGCTCCAACACCAGCTAAACATAACCATTCCAACTCGTGCAGTAATCCTGAAAGGAAGCTCCTAACAGATTGTCTGGCTTGTACTTTGAAAATTAGTGAATTTCTTTCCGAATATTTTGGAGTAAAATACTGCGAGTAAGAGACATTGTGTCTAAACATCCAAAAAATAATCGCAACAAACAAAAGGTCCAATAAATCTTAGTCTCAGCTTCGATTTTGGTATTCCATCCATTCTTTCAAATTTAAAAATTGGTTTTAATAAATAATGCCTTTATGCACTTC